ATGCTGTCATTCAACACTGCTGCACATTTCGTCGCACCGTAAAAATGGATACTGAGAGTGCTGCAAACATGCCCGTATCTTGACTAATGGCCCGTGATGTATTTGTATGAGCCGACCTCACAATATGTCAGCCCTCTCGGGCGTTATTCATGGGAGGGCATGGAAATGCTGCATACCCATCAAGTGTGATTCTCGGCAACCCATTGATTCCATATTTACATGACAAAGGTTGTATTTCGACCATTGTGAAAGGCGATATAATGAAACGATAATCCCCATTCTCGATAGGCCACAATCTGCCTCTATCGAATCCCTACACTTACTGGTAAGCATTCATTCTTTTATGCGGTGCTTCAGGTGTCGTTTCTCTCTCCTATGTCGTCTAAATGCGATGAAATACTAATTAGATGCATGCCTCAACCTCTTCATCCTTTCATGTGATTTTGACATTCGTCAGATTATTCCTTCCTGGTGTTGCAATTTTAATATCCAGCAGTGTAAATGAATCAAAACAAATGTAGAATGGTGTGCAGCTAATAGAGAAAAATAGGTTGATTGGGGCTTTTTTTCGTCTAATGGGTTTTCTTAGCCAATAATGATGATTGTTAAAACTTCAATGATTTCAATAAATTTGGATATAAATATTTCAAAATTTGGAAATGTTACAATTCAATAATTTTTGTAACTTAAAGATTTATATTTTTAATAAAATTATATTATTTTCTTCATTTCTATAAACTTTTAGATTAAATTTAAAGTAAGTGCATTTATAAAAATATCCGAACAGAAAAACTTTCAGCATATATTTTTTAACTGAATAGATTTAGTATTAAAGGATATATTTTTAAAATGTTTAACTCATAACATTTTAGCACACCTCCATATTGAAAAAATTCTTTTTTTCAGAAACAAATCAAATATTTTAATTAATCTAGATGATATAATAATTTATTCCTTTATTAGTCATGAACAGTAATATTAACTTCTACCAGCTGTGATGAGGAACAGTTTTTTAAGGCAATGTAACATGTATCTGGACATGTCAAAATCATAAGAAATTATTTTTAAAGATGCTAATGGTTATTTAATATTATTTATGATTAGGAACAATCATAAGATAACACTAAAATGAAACGTAAAATAAAAGACATCAAAATGCTGAGGAAAAAATTTTCTAGATGAGGAGAAAAAATTGAAATTCTTCTGTGACAGTAAAAAAAATTTAGGGAAAGGGAAAAAATCTTTATTTTTTTTTCTTTTTTGAAATAAAATACTTGTGGAAGTACCTCTTAAATAATTATCAAGATTTTTTAAAATTAAGCATTTCGTATGTTTTGCATAGTTACTGTTCGCTATCAAATGACAATTAGATTCCATAAACTTATTCTTTTTCGTTTTATCATTTCTAATTTAAATTTATTTTTTTTACAATATTTTATCAGAGAAAAATTAGCAGCAATATTTGGAAAAGTTGATACTGAAAACGTTGGCCCTTTTATGCATTGTATAACATTAATCACATTTAGTATAATATATTCATTTATTTTATTTCTTAGAATTAGTATTTAGATCCTTCACCCCCCCCCCTCCCCCGTTGAAATAAAAACTTTAAAAATAAATGGGTAAATGCTTTTATGATGAAAAGATAATTATTTTGAAGTTTTTCCGAACGTTTTTTTTTTGTAAGTGTGTCATAAAAAGAACACTAAAGTTCTGTAGAAAAAAATTCTATGTATATTATGCAAATTCAAGTTTAATAGGCAAAACAAGAGTCACTTTGAATTTTAAAAAAGATTGCAAAAATAAAACTAAAAATAAATATTTCAAAGCTTAAACTCGTGACCATGTGTAATTATAAATATTTTTTACTCGTTTTTCTAGAACAATCGATGTATGGTTTTACTTCGTCACGTTTGACCTAAAGAAGTACAACTCTGGAAATCAAATTTCAACTTTTGTAACAAGATATTTTATTTTGAAAATTAAAACGTACCTGTCGTTCTCAAAAGGAAAATGTTTTTATGCCAAGGCTAAACAGAAATGAGACAATATTATTTCACTCTATATTAAAGAAATTATGTCGTCGTATGATTTAGTTATTCTTTATTCAAAGCTACTTTGTATATAGTCTGTTATTGTATCATTTTAGAAAGACCCAATCTGTACACAGCAATTAAAAAATTTAACTTTATTTAGGGTAATTTGTTCTATGTATTTCCGTACTAAAAAATTTAATATTTCTCATGAAAACAACTCATTTTAGAAAAGTAAACAAATAGATTTTCCCTCTCATGCTGCAGTTGATAAGTTCTATGACACACTCAGTTTTATTTACTTTAAAATGTTATTTTAACAATAGATTATTATAAATATTTCTGTTATTAACTCTTTCAATGATACAATGGATATAAAAATAAACTTGTGACATATAATTTTAAAATGTTCTCAAATCAACTGTTTCTAGATGTATACTTTTCTCTTTCTTCAACCTTCGACTATTTTTTAAAAATAATTGTGTTATTTCAACAAATCAATTACAGTTTTTAATTTTCAGGCAAAAATAAATAAATAAAAATTGTTTAAAAATTTAATACGATTAAGATAGTAACCGTATATATATATATATATATATATATATATATATATATATATATATATATAGCATAATAAAATGAAATAAAATAACAAGACAAAATTATACAACCAACAAAGCTAAAAGATAGAAACCAGATTCTAAGAAACATAACTATAATATGTATATATATGTGGTAACGTTCGGTTACCTCTTACATCCGAACCCTCTTGTCTACCTGTAAACCCGGCTAGATGTGTAGGAGGAACTGATTAATCCACAAACATTATTTCCAATCTAATTTGATTTATTAATTTTATAAAACAATTATTAAACAGACACAATACAATTCTAATTTAGGCTTATGATTTATCGTAGAGTGCGGAGGTAAGATTCTATATCACAGGGATGCTACTACAGACCCTCAACTGAATCTAAGATAGCTTAAATACGCTCAAATATAACAACGTCGCGCACTAATAACTAGCTTCTACTTAATCAAGTGCATAGTACCTGAACCTTTAATGCATCGGATCCTACACTGGAACTTTGCAGGCACTTTCTTCGACTTGATCAACTGACGATGGCTCCACGCTCTGTAATCTTTAATTAATTCTACTGCTCTCCAATATTCAAATAGCCACTAATTCTCAAACTTCTGTTAAACTACTATTTGCGCACATCTAACGCATCCACTTCAGCGTGTGAACAACAAAGAGTCAACAATTCACTTCCTTCCTTTCTTTCTTACTGTCAACTCGCGAAAACTGAATTTATATAATATACTTCATGTACATAAATCACGTTCGCTTTCTCAATGAAAGTTGGTTGAATTAAATATTTTGTTTAAAGAGAGAGGAGATATTAGTGAAACCGCGTATAGATCTGCCATATATATATATATATATACAGTGGTGGAGGAAATTGTGGATACTTTTTAAAATTCTAATGATTTTCAAGTTTATATGCTTAGAGAAACTGTAATGTTGCACAAAATGACAGTCTTTTATGTCATTTTAAAGAGAATTCAATACTAAATTCAATACAAAAAAACAAAATTCAAATATTTGCTAGGCAAAAAACTTATGCTGTCGATATACATTAGATACTGATAATAGCAGTTAGTTATCATTGCTCAGTGGGTTAGCATTTATTTTTTATTACTGCTTCACATCGATGTTTCATTGAACTGAAAATAGTTTTAAGCTCCTCCTTTGTTTTAACATGATGCCAGGAAACAATTACACCCTTCATTAGTTCCTTTTTATTTCAAGGGACAAGAGTTTTTCAAACGGTGACAAAAGTTTTCGATATGATTCAGGTAAGAACTATTTCCTGGCCAGGACAACAACTCAATGATCTTAGAACGATGCCAGTCTTTTGATTACTTTACTGTGTGGCAAGGAGCAGAATCTTACCAAAAAATAAGTGAAGTATTGCTAGTAAATAGATCTCTGATAGAAGGTGGAAGTTTGGGTTCTACAATGAAGTCAATGTATTTTCTGACTTTCAGATTGGCATCGATTATATGAAAGCGACCAATACCATATGTTGATATAAATAAGCAAATCATGAAACTATGTGGGTACTTCAGAGTTGCTTGGATGCAGTCAGGATGTAGAATTTTTTCTATTCTACGTCTTACATATTTTTGGCCTTCACTACCGAATAACAATATCTTAGTTTCATCCCTCCGTATAACCCTCCATATAACTACACATATATGGAGAGTGTAAACTAATAGTAGGAATTGAAAAAAGGAACAAGAACATCAAAGGAATATGGTTACTATCTTAATGCTATACATGTATATATCTTGTTCAAATTGTCAATCATTAAATAAAATACATTTTATTCATCCACTCAAGTTCAAATACATCTTTTTAAACATGTAGTGGATGACACTTGATGTTAATACAACTTTTTTAAATATTAATTCATTAATTAAATATAATGAATAAATAAATAGTAATAAAAATAATAGTCCAACACCATACATAAAAAGGAGAGCTGCTCGTTGTGTCCCTGTAGCTCAATGTATAGAGCGGTGAGCATCTAGTCAAAAGGTCTTGGGTTCGAATCCCACCTGGGATGGCCTAATTTCTTAGAATGATTTCTTTGTACTGCATTATTTTGCTGGAATAATTAAATTTAAATAATGAACAAATAGTATCAAACAAAAGTATATATACTAGTCCAACACCACATATACATAGAAAGGAAAATAGAAATTTACAAGAAAAACCGTTTTCTATTTTACCACATGATATTGTGTGTTGTTTATATTAATTGTAACTATTTAATAAAAAGTAACTAAAATAAAAAAAAATTTGTTGACCTAAGTAGGAATATATTTAATTTTTTTATATTACTTCTTTTGATTTTATTTTAATTTTTAAAAAATGAATTTTATTTCTAAATATATAACAGGGGGCACCCGGATTCGAACCGGGGATCAGTCGATCTGCAATCGAATGCTCTGCCACTAAGCCATACCCCCACGCTCTCTCGGTGAATAAGGCCCAGTGAATAGGGAAACATTTATCTTTAATTGTCTAGAGCTCTTCCACCGTACGTAATTGTTATCAGTTATGTTGAAAGCGGAAACCTGCATTTTATCTTACCGACACGTTAAAAGAGTTTTAAGATAAATATTTTAAACTCTTCAAAATTCCCTTGGCATATTTTTATTTGATAAAGTAATGATGTGTAAGAAAATCTGCTGTAGAATAATTAAGAGATCTTGAATCAACATTTTAAACTTAAAATTCACTTAAAATATATCTTGTCGTATACCTTTGAACAGTTTCTGTGTAAAGGTAACGACACATTTTATAGTACAAAGAATGTTCAATAAAATATGGTTTAAGTTCGTGTTTTGCGTATACGACATTTTTACAAAAAGTGAGTGAGAGATTTATGCTGTATTTTTTTTTCTTAAGGCCGTATTACACACACATATTTGGAGTAACCAATTCGCCGAATTTTTCAAGCAGCTGAGGGTGAAGGGTTGCTGTAAGCAAAACTGCATGCTCTGACGTCAGCCGCGCTCTATCTCCACATCTTCGGGAAATGAATATCCAATCTTTTATTTAGCACACGCTTTTGTTGACAGGGGGGAATAGAAATGGAGCACCATTCTGTGTTAAAGAGTATACGCCATTAACATAGTATTCACAATTAAAATAATATGCGTCATATCTGATGCGTTTGACAAAGCCGAAGCTTCTATATTTACCACCATCTTGTTTATGACGTAGCGATCCAAAGAACCCCGTTGGCTGGACTTTCAAGCAATTTTTATTTGGAACAATTTTTTCAGATTACTGCGAAAAAGTTGTTCGGTGCCGTTGATATGGCAACTAGGTAGAAATTGTTCAAAATTGGTTGCTGTTAAATATTGATCCGAATTCGTATGCGTGTGATAAGGCCTTAATTAGTTTAAAAGTAATTTTAACCCAGTCAAGGGATACATGGATCATAAGCTAGAATTACAGTCCTACCTGTGAACTTGTTTAGGAAAAATGTTGATTAAACTTTAAAACACTTGGAAGTTTCGGTACCCGATGAGAACAATTTACAGAATGCCATCCCTCGTCCATAATAAAATTAATGGGATATTTTTTATATCATTACTTAATTATTGTGATATCAGTTTTCTCCTAAGTTAAAAAAAAAAGAAAACGTGGAAAGCCACGCGATAGAAGTGAAACTTCTTTGGTGACGTTGGCCGTAAATGCTGGAATAGATCTAATTATATTAAACTGCCGAGAGAACTTCCTTTATAAAATAAAATTCGTACTTCATTTATTGTATGAAAATATTTTTATTCAATTTTTTACATCACCATTTTCCAAGAAAGAAACAATAGGTGTGTGGTAACTGAAGTAAGATATAAAAATCTTCGATTGTAGTCAATCAAGAAAATGTGAGAAAACTGCATCAATCGTGGTTCCGTATATTGTTTTTCCTTCTCTAGAATCAGTATTCATTGCCAAATTCAGTGTCTGTTTCAAGAATTCAATGAGTGGCTTTGCTTCTTCTGAAGCAAAATTAACATTGAAGTCTCTAGTTAAGATAATCGGCTTTTAATCGTCACGGATTCAATGATTGCTGCAGTCTCTGATGTGTACAGCGCTAAAACTTTATGGATAAAGATGATAAAAGCTGCAACAGAACTAACTACCTGGTAATATATAGACTTTCACCTGGACTTGCTACTAGTTTTCTTTTTCTTTTTTTCCTTTCACGAAACTCTTTTCCTCTTTTTGCATTTGTTCTAGGCATTCTGACCAGAATTAATTTTAATTCAAAATGGAAACAAAAATTAATAATATAAACTTAATGCATCACTCACAGAAGTCACTGTATTTGCTTACAAGACGCTATCCGTAGCGATTCTGGCGTGAACGTTAGTGACATATACACAATATCCCAGACACTCCCGTAACGGGAAGAGTGATATTATGGTAATATTTTGGGTGCGTTTATTCGTTGAAAACGGCACGTTTTTATTGCATAAAAACTACGAAAATACGTAACACAAGTTCGTTACGAGTAGCATACTCACATAATATCTCCAATACCTAAGCGCCTTTAGTTCAAACACAAGATGCCCCACTCCATACACCTTAGCAATCGTCCAACTTTTTCACGGATATGTCGCAAGTCACGTGGTGTACCTCCCCCTCCCCCGCTCTCTTTTCCTCCCGCTCGCTATCTCCTCACCAGGGCGACGTTTCGGAGGATGGGGAGGGGGAATCACTACTTCTTTTCGCTTTTTCACTGTTAAGCAAAACTGGGCAAATTCCCAATTCACTCCCGTGAGCAAAGAAGTTTCACTTCAAAAATTCAGCAAAATCTCTCTAGTTTTGTTCAACTGCCTGTAATAGTTGTATTACCAAGCCAGCGATAGTTTGGTGGTTAAAGTTGTTAACTGCATGACATATCACAATTGAACAAAAAAGCATTAATGAAGAACAATTTTTAAGGTTCACGGTAAATTGTATAAGGCCTCATATTCTTCATACAGCATTGTGTGGAAACCTTGATCACCATGCTAAAAATTATAAGGTCCATAACCAATAATCAGTTATGCAACTTCTAACTAACTAAATCAACAATCTAGAGAAGAATATTTGCAGTAGTCGCACGTAAAAGGTACTCAAACCGATATAACTTCATTTGATTCGTCAGAAATTGCGTGAAGTTGCTAAGCACTCAAAAACAAATTGGATTCGTTTCAAAATATTACTAACATCAATTGTCTAATGTTTTATGTATTTGAATTCCAAAATTGTAGACAAAATATTAGACACTTCACATAAGGTAAATTTTTTCGTTAAATTTAGAACGCCAATTAATATAGCATATATTAAATTGTTAGTGACAAAAAATGTATATTTTGGAAGGAAAAAAAAGACGCGCCTGCCCTATAAAACACAATGTATGTCATATATTATTTTGTCACTTCCACATAAGTTTTGTATTTTTCCAGATAATCTTTATAATATCATAAATCAGAATAATTGAATATATAGATAAATTTATCTATTTAATGAAGTATTTTTTAAACATACAGAAGTATTTTGAAATAGAGATACAAAACTAACAAAGCGTGCAAGCTAATGCGTTTTAGATTTCATAAATAATTAATATTACTTTTTTTTTTTTACAAATAGAAGAAATAGTTGTATATTTTCCTCCTTGATGTACACAATATATTGTATATTGTCGATATTTATACAATCTTGAATAAAGAAACAAACGGAATAATCAATTTTATATAATAAAATAGGAATTAATACATGTAAAATGTCAACTTTATATTTAGTTGATGAGAAAAAAATAATTGACTAATAGCTGTTTTTCATGTTTAAACTAGAAACAGAAATTGGTCTTTCGAAGTTGTACATTTTAAAATATTATATTTAAAATATTCGAAATTGTATATTATTAATAATGTACCAGTAAATAATCTAGTTAAAACACTCAGTCATATAGTGATACGAAATTCTATGAATTAAAATTTGATAGTGTAAATCTGTCCTTAAAGAATTTTAAAAATTATGTGTACAAGTATTTTAACTAATCACTTGAACAATACTACAAAATAAACAAAATAAATCTTTTAAATGATGCGTGCTATAAACGAGAATTAAGAATCAAATGGTTTTAATCCAGCTGAGTTTCACATTGTAATTACATGTAAAAGAAACAAAACAAAAAATGTTTATTTTACTGACGAAGAAAATAAATGTGCTTTTTTTAATAGTATGAGGGGAAGTACCCCCTGTCCTCTTAACGGTACATCAACCCCCATTGTACAAATTATACAACAGTTCATACTCATTGAATTTATGTATATTATGTAGTTCTACTCATTTGGTCTTTTTTTTATTGAAGTTATACTCCTTTTGGTGAGATAGGGAAAAATGATGAGACCACACCATTGTCTAATAACTTTGGAAGTTACTGAGAGATCTTGGTTACTTGGTGTTGATCGAATTGGTATGCCCCCCCCCCCATGTATTTGATTTCTATGTTCTTGTGGTTGGGATAGGGGAGGGCTTGCACACTAAAATATCAGTACCCCATGTTATTCCTATGGGGTAGGAAATTTTCTAACATGCCACTTTTTTGTGCTAGGGGATTGATATTTGGGGGATCGGTAATAACTATTGTTAAAAACCATATCTGTTGAAAGACCAGTGCATCCCCCTCTACAGCTTTTTGGCCAATATCTCGGCACCCAAGCCTCACAGTCCATTCGGACCTGGCTCATTCGATCCCTCTCTATCTGTTCTTCCAGTTATTATAAATTCATGCTCATAAGGCTATTTCTTCCGTAGTTTTTATTTGTCTTAAGCTTTTTTTAAACTTTTTAAATTTGTTTAAATTTACAATATCTTGGCTCCTGTTTGAGTCTCGAACCAGAGATTTGAACCAACTCTTCTATTCGTCGAGACCCATCCAGTCATCTACTTCATTCCCATTGTGTAGATATGGGGAGGGCTTAAGCACTAAAATATCATGCTCCTATGTTAATCCTATGGGGACTGGAAAAAATTTCTCTCCCCTAAGGAATTGAGCTTGGGACTTAATTTTTGGAGGTCCGCCATATTTTCATATTAGCGCGAGCTTTACGTGGAATTGGCCCTCGTGTTATTGGTTCCATTGTCCCTGTGCGGGGGTGTTTAAATTTATTTAAATCGGGATTATATCTCGGGTTTGGCTGGTCCGATTGACTTAAGGTTGGTATCATTCAACTTTGCCCATGACCTCCTTTCGTCCTTGGCCCAGCTTGCCCTGCTCAATATTTTTAGAAAAAACTTTTTACAACAAATACAATTCTTTTTACAATCTATAAAGTATCTATAACAAGTTGATCAAATTCAAATATTGTTTCATGACATATTTTTCTAACAATGGAAACTTTCAATGTATTAAATACCTTTTTTTCCTATTACTAGTGTCGTTTTCTCTACAAAAGTAGGATAA